TTTTTTTTTTTTTTTTTTTTTTTTTTTTTGCATTTGGAAAACAAAGCAAGGGTTTTTCAGATCCCCTTCGTCATAACCGAGGCAGCATTTATGTGTTGGGAAGACAGGGGAATGCTGAGCATAAAGTTGGGCCTTTTGCCAGTCCTGACTAGCCTGCTTGGCTTGCTGACCTTTTTGTACTTTAGTGAGTGATGACATAGGTTTAAAAACAACTAATCCTCTATGAAGTAATTACTTTTTAATTGAATAATTCAACAAAGTAGTTAATCCAGGCAAATGGGTAGTGACTGTAGATTGAAAGGGTTTAACAGAAATCATTAGGATGTAGGATTTATTCAGTTTATATTTACTGTGTAGACAACACTGGCCCTTTTACAGTATGGGATTGAACACCCCTAAGTTGACTCCTCTCAAGACAGTTATAATCTGTAAGTACAAACACTAATAACCTTGAACCAACGGTGAAGACTCTAAAACAGTAAACAAATAGGTGCTGAATTGTAAGGTATAGATTTAGAGATTAAGAACATTGTAGGGATTAAAAAAATAGATGAGTGGGTAGATGCGAAGGTTTTAGGAGAGAAGCACATGCCAGGGCAGATTATTGAAGTGGTATGGAGCATTGTCTATTTGCAGGGAAATGAACCTGATCTTGTTATAGGCATTGGGAGAAATCACCTTTGGAGACTGATATGGAAAAAAAATAAAATTTTATTGCCTGCAGCTGGGACCGCACTAGCCAATTCAGAGTGCGGCCCTGAGCCATTTTTACTTTCGGTTTTTAAAACTGCGCAAGTGCTGGGAGTTATTAGCCAATGCAAGCAAGCCAACAATACATAAGCTAATTTTGTGGTTAGCATGGCTCCTCCCAGCCCCTCCCACATTTTCCCGCCCGGATTTTTCCCACCTGAGTTTTTCCCACCTGAGCTTTTAAAAAATGGAGGGGTTTTCTTAAAATGGCACCAGTCCTGTCAACAGCAGAAAAATCATTTCAATCTGACTAGAGCAGGAGAGTACAGGTGAGGTAATTGTGGATGTAGGCTAAGGAAGGCCTAGAAGATCAAGCTGAAGAATTTGGACCCAGTGTGATTGGATATCTTTTCCACTCCCATCCCTGACAGACTCAAGGAGGTCCCAAGATTATGGACCAGTGTGATGACATAGAGGACAGAAAGCAAGCACGAGTTATGGAAAGACAGTTTTAAAGGAAAAATGGACAAAACCTGGTAACTGAGTAGCCGTGCATGACAAAGTAGAGGGATGCTAAGACATCTTCAAATTTTCACACCCGGGTGCCTGAGAGACTACATAGGTGTGGCCGAGGAAAGTGAGGACAGAAACTGATTTACATTTGGATTTGACTTGATGATGAGATGTTCCAACAGAAGGTATCAAGTAAACAGAAATAGTGTTTTGTGGAACTTAATAGGTCTTTGATAATATTTTGTAAATATCCTTTGATCAAGTAACAGAGATCTTTTCACCTTCTATGTCCCAAGCCTTTTAGGGAATTATTAGGTAGTAGGCACACATATTGACTTATTTTTGTTCAATTCAGTAGTTATTACCATGCCAAGTTATCATGATATACTCAGACTAAAATTTTTAATTTTTCTAATAACTTTGATAAATGTCATTTAAAATTTTAAGGCAGTGAACTTTGCTACCTTCTTAATGAAAGGTGGGATGGGGGAAACCCTTTTTATTTGCACATATTAATAGACATTAAAATTTCTTTTTTCAAAATTGAGGCTTTCCATCATTCAACAGTTAGGAACAAGGACTATCAAAACTTTTGGTCACCACCTTCAGATCCTGAACATTTTGAAATGGATACTTCTCATGAAAAATTAGAAAGCATGCCAGAATTGGATGCCTTGAATGTTTGCGGTCTTTCTCAAGACTTAACTCAGTCAGATTCTCCTTTCTGTATGGAAACCAGCAGTACAACTTCAGACTTGCCTCAGGTGGGCATTGATTCTGCGTTCTGGGAGGTTAAGATGTATGGAGTATTCACATTATCTTCCACATGAAAATTTAAATCTCAGTGGACACATAAAGGAGGGTAACATAAGGTCTGGTTTTCCCAGTTCCACTAGTATGCAAAGAAAGGTAGAATTTTACAGATAAGAGTGTTAAGACTGATGATTTCTAGCCTCCTCATGATGTCCTAAGATGCTACCAGGGGACGTGGCCACAACAACTCAATCACAGAGGCAGCATGAGAGCCCAAGCAGCCTGACTTCTGGTCTAGTGCTTTTTCCACTATGTCAGTATGCAAACATGATTCATTCGTTATTCATAATGATATTGACAGCACCCTGAATATAAATTAATCCCTTCCTGTTTTCATGAAAATTTCTAGTGCCCTTTCTTACAAAATAAAAGAGATTGTAATATCCTAAGATTTTCATGAATGTTCTAAATGTTCGATAGTTACTAGCAATAGCATAGGGAAATAATAGGAATGTATTAAGTTGTGTCATATGAAAATGCCTTTTTGTAGTTAAAAATGGACAAATATTGACAATTTCATGTGGTACAGCCTATAAATTGGCAAAGCCTTTTAAAAGGGCTGTTAAATGATAGGAAATTAAGAGTTAAACTGCATTTTTTCAACTTCTAGGAAGTATTCAAATAAGATATTTTATAATTGTTTATAATAACTAAACATTGAAAACAACCTAAATTTTCATCTCTAGAGAGCTAATTAAATTAATGTGCAGATGTACAGTGAACATGCAATCTTAAATAAGATAATACAAATATACACATATGATTTGTTGACATGGAAAAATGGTCACACTGGTTGTCACCAGATAGTGGGATTTTGAGAGTTTTTTATTTTCTCTTCTTAAACAATGTTCAAGGTTCTTTTTGAATTATAAAAATCTTTTTATTTATTTATTTATTTATTTATTTTTTGTCTTTTGTCTTTTTCCGTGTCCGGCAACGGATCGCAACCCTCAGTGTTGCCCCCGTACCGGACCGGGGACCGGCAACGGGATCGCAACCCTCGGTGTTGCTCCCGCGCCTCGCTCAGCCAGTGAGCGGGAACCGGTCTGTATGTGGGATCCGAACCCT